CCCCCCCCCCCCCCCCCCCCACTTAATCGCTAATAATCTCTAATAATCAATTCCTTTAGTAGTTGAATTCATAATCTGTACTGGCTGTATACCGATGAAAAACACTTAAATCTGCTCTCTGAGAAGTTCAAAAAAAAATTAAATAGGACTTCCGTTGTTTTCTTTTCTTCGTTTCTCTCGAAGAATATTATGTACATAGTTTATTGAGTTTTGTTTTGCAGTAGCAAAATAAAATTGAATTGATAGCATTCTTCCAGTTGTCCTATGACTCATACGTGAGAAAACGAACACAAAAATAACACCACATACTAAAAACTAATGACTTAAGACTAAAAAAAAATAGAATAAAAAAAAAGACGATCGAAAACTGTTGGATGGTTGTTTTTATTATCGCAAAAATTCTAGATTTTTTATTAATATAAATATTTGTTCACAGATCGTCGTCATCTTGGTCATAATCGGGTAATGGTTGAGTCATTATATGATCAATTAACCGTTCACGGGCTTTAATATCTTCCACGTCTAAAAATATGCCTGCGTCTGGTGGCTAAAAATAAGAAAATCCGTGTTATAAAAAACAAAACTTGAAATTTTATCTGAACATACTGGTAATGACACTGGAGCAACAAATTGAAGATGTTCATTGCCAGATAGCTTTCGTGCTAACCAAAGAAATGGTTTCTCAAAATTATAATTTGATCTAGCACTAAGATCATAATATTGCATATTATTTCTTCGATGAAATGTTATTGATTTTGCTTTTAATTTTCGATCTTTTACATCGACTTTATTTCCACATAAAACCATGGGAATATTTTCGCAAACACGAACTAGATCTTTATGCCAATTGGGAACGTTTCGATAAGTTATACGTGATGTTACATCAAACATTAAAATAGCACATTGTCCACCAATATAATAACCATCACGTAAGCCTAACATGGAAGAAACAATACAGTCAATAAAAAAATATTTTACTTCAATGACTTACCACCAAATTTTTCTTGACCTGCTGTATCCCAAACATCGAAAATGATTTCACCTAAACTTGTATGAAATCTCAATGGATGCACACTAACACCAACGGTAGCTTCATATCGCTTTTCGAATTCGCCAGTTAAATGGCGTTTAACAAACGTTGTTTTACCTAAAGTGATTTATTATTGTTTACAAGAGAAAAAAAACAGAAAAATAGGCAGACTTACCAACACCACCATCGCCAACTAAAACTAATTTGAATTCCGGTATATTTGTTGCCATTTTCTGACGTTTACAATGAAGAAAAAGTGCAAATGCGCAATACTTTTCGTCGTGCGTATACTTATACGTCAATGTAATTTCGCAAGACTATACATGAAAAAGAAATTTGAGTATCTTGTAGCATTATGCAATTCTATGTTGACACTGGCTAACACCAGAATGAAAACAATTTGCAATTATTTTGACGAACAGCCATTGCAAACAAATGAGTCATGCGTTTATTTTCTAAGAAAATAATCTCATTTTTGTTTTGTATGTGTCATGTGGGACGACTGTGATTCATAATTTGTATTGCTCTATTTTGTTCTTCCGTATGTTTTTTTCTTTTCTTTTCGTCGATTGTCTCGTCGACTCATTTCTGTCTACGAGAAATTTTTCTAAATATGCTGACAAAGAATAAAAAAGGAAAATAAGAAAGAATGTTGGAGAGCAAGGAATAGTATATCACATTCTTGTACGGTTCTTTCAAATTTTAGTAACGTTATCATAACTTTCTTATCTAATTAACTTTGATTAATTCAATTAAACAAGGCAGTTGCTACACTTTACCTATTCTTCTTGAAGTCAAGATTTAACATCCTACAGTATGAATTTGATTTCTTTGATTTCTGACGTTTATTTATTTTATCTATATTTTTCCTAAAGAAAACACATGAATTATGTCGATGTATTTTTATAGCTAGCTATAATCATATCAACTGATAAAAGTCTTTTTGCTTCTTTTGAAATTCTTGTACTTACTCGTACATATATACATTTATACTCATTCTCATGCTTTTAATTAAAGAAAAATTTGGTTCAGACGAAAAATAAATCAATCTATTTATGTGATATCAGAGCTTCATTAGGTTTTCGTGAGGCTGAAGCACAAAAACAAGCTAAATTTAGTGAGGTTGTAGTTGCCTTCCTTATTGTTTACAACGTTTATAGACTTTGATTAAGAGCAAAAAATGAGATCAAGCCAAATTTGAGAGTTATTCAGCAGAGAAAAATTGAATTCTTGTATTATGGTACGTTTGTTAAGAGATTTTTCTGAATTAACTACCAAAAGTATCGAATTGATTAGTTGTCTGAGCTCGCCATTTCGGATATAACTATTGCCTTCGTATATCCAAATTCGATTTGAATATCCACTTCAATAGTTTGATTCGTCAAAACATTTTTTCGCCAAATAGTCACGATTGTATTTCGTTTTTGCCAAAACGAATCTCTTTCAAAACTGACCGTACATAAACGTTCGGCAACTGATTTCTCTAAGGCATTCGTTGACATTTCTAAAGTGAACTGCTTCAGTTTTGGTAAGCTTTGTTCTATTATACTTTGCCATTGATAATCATCGATTGAGTTCGGCTGGACGTATGTTAAGGCCAATTCAAGTCGTTGAAGATTTGAATATGTACCCAGAAAACGTTTTACTAAATCAAAGTCTGTTTTAATAAATGTAGCTATACACGTATGCAAATGTGGCAATGGTGGATAACTGTCAGTCCATGTGTTTAATGTGGCAATAAATGTTAATGATCGTAAGTATGGAAGATGTGATAAAATCCAATGCAAATTATTTAGACAGATAGTTGTCAAATGAAAGCATTGGCATGAAAGATCATTGTCTATCTGATTTTTAATTCTTGCATTTCGATTTACCATTTCTTGATTGAAGTCTGTGCATAAATTTAAAAATCTCAACGACTTTAGATCACGCGAACAAATTTTGAGAATTCCCATCGATAACCCGTAGACTTTCTCATGGCATTGATCCGAACGAAAGCAAATCGAAAGCGACTCCAAATAATTTGGCATAAGCTTATTATAAATGATATCACTAACTGTAAATACGCCGACGCAGTCCAACGTCAAATATCGCAAACCATGGAAACTACATGTTAGAAGCCGATCAGCTAGTTCATCATCGTATTTATTTGAGAGTAGAAGTCCAGTAACTTGTGATTGATCGATGGAAGCAAGAACCTTCAAAATGAAAAACTGAAGTTCCATAGTAAATACGTCGTGCATTACCTGCTGACATTTATGACGTTTTATTTCTCGTAAATCAAGATATTTGCCCATAGTAGAACGTACTAATCCCGAAAGTCGATTGTTGAGTTCATAGAATGACTGATAAATACTATACCCATCAAGATAAGAAAATATCGCGAGGAATATCTCGTGCGGCAAACATTCAAGTGTCGTAACTAGTGATTCATTCATGACTACAATAAATCTAGAATAAGTCAATGTGTTTGGAAAATAAAAGTATACTCTTGATTGCTTAAATATAATCGAATGAACTCGATATGTGAGTGGGTGTGGGTAAAGAATGAGTAATCGATACCCACGCCCAATTTCAGATTTTTCTTACATATCATCATGAGTATGATCACAGCTATTACTCCGCATTTGCTCATCTGGGTCAGAAAGAGAGAATGTAGAACAATGGTCAGGAACGGCGCTGCTTGTGGACACGTGCAGTTTGTACTCAATTTTAGTATAATTACGTGATTGTTCCAACGCTTTTCACAATTGCACACCCATGCCGCACAAGCCGATCAAATACCATCGGTTAACCGGCTTTTCTCGATCGGTTTGTGCGACATGGGAATCTCATCGACTGGTACATCTAAAATTAAAATAGCTTTTTATTGAAAAGTTAAATACATAAACGAATACTAACGATACGAAGATAATTCATCGCATAACTTTGATGAACTATCGAAAGCAGTACTACCATTAGCCGAATAGCCATCAATACCTGCCATACTCTTTCGTGTTGAAGCAGGACAGGCATTCAGAGTAGCCATGAGAGATGTGAAACCCAATGGCTGAAGCTTTCCATTTGTCGTTTCAAGGCAATAATTTTATACTGTCGAATGATTCGAGTAGGAATCATATTTCTACAGGTGTTTGGAATTTCAATTGGTTCACTTATTGCCATATTAATCGATCGAATTCCAAATGGTAGATCAGCAGTAACAGACGGAGATAGCGCTACTTTAAGAGAATGTAATACTTGTTGTTTGCTGCAGCGCTTCACATTAGGACGTGTCAGATCTACAGGAGCACCGCGGCCTATATAGAAAGAGACATAACTTCACGAATACTTATATAATGCATAGAAAACATTAAAAAAACTTCGGTTATTTTCACATGACACAGTGGTCTCAGCACTTTCAGTAAAAGAAATATCTATCATGCTGACCTCTTATTAGACTTTCTTTCATCTGGTATTCTCGATAAAATCTCCATGTCTATACCTTCAAACAGCATCATGGTATTACACAAATCTCTTCAGTAAGAAATAAGCCGAGTATATATTATGAGACTCGAACTCTTTTTTATTCATTCTTCTGATTGTTTCTCTTAATAAACTTTGAAAAAAACTGCCGCACGAGAACCAAAACTATCCATTTGATGGTATCAGAACTAGTAACTTTTTTCTAAAGATATTTTTTTTTGTTTCATCCAAATACTTCTCGATGATCTACTTTGCTTTTTACAACGTTAAGAAGCATATTCCAGAAGATCATGTGAAATGCTACGTTGCTGGTTTTCAATGGCTGATATTGAGAAATTCTTTTTTTCTGAATTGAAATTTCAATTATTGGTAACAGATCATTCTGTAGAATTAGAGGCTTTCTCACCAGAATGATAGGCATGTTTTCTTGCTGCTTTTGTTTGTGAATCAGTAACGGTCGGAAAATGAGCACGAAGAATGGAAGGTGAAAAATCAGCCGCAACAACAGCTAATAACTGTCGTTTAGTCGAAGAATGTTTCGCATTTTCAATAGCAGTATTAATAGTCACCATAGCCTTTGGGTTGATTCTATCAAAGAAATGAAATGAAATGAAAAAATAAAAATAAAAAAATAACCTCAAACATTTGCTCTTTGCAAGTAAAAGTTTTGAGCTCATATTTTACGATATCATTCCAGACTTTCTCAATGTTATTTGGTAGTAGAAATTTGAGTAAATACAGGAACATTCTCTTGATTTGATTCCACAGGTTGCATTTACTTCTCTCTTTTAATGAGGCGTATGATAATGTTAATTCACAGCGTCGCATGAAACCGATTTCATCAAGAAATTGATTAATTCTATTCAAAACATGTGACTCTTGAGCATAGGATTGATCATCAATGTGATGTTCATAACTGTCATCGTTGTCGTCATCATCTGCTTCAGAAGAAACAGGAGTATGAACTAGCTCTTTATTGTATAACCAATCTAGATTAGAAGAATTCATTTATAAATTTCCATACTAATTTTAGCTTTTACCGAAAATACGTTCACATTTTGAGCGAATTTCATCAATCATATGATTGGCAGTTAGAAACTTGCGGTACCTAATACAGATTGACTGATCGTAAAACGCTCAGTGTTGTTGTGGATGATCGTATTCCCAAATAGTTAGAGCAAGTTGTTTGGATACACGACGTACGGCGTTGGTATTTGCTTTTACATTTTTACAGGTGGGTTTACATATTTTACAACGTCCTTTATTTTCTCCATTCGATAACAAATGTTTGAAATGATTGAAACACATATTTTTTTCAAATGCATTTGCTGGTTGAAGGTTGAAAGCAGTCCCTTTTAATAGTAAGTATACTAAGAATAACCCGAAATCATTTGTGTTAGGTGCTGACTTTTCTAAAAGTTCTCTCAAAACAATAGGATCACCACTGCATCGTGTTTAAAGTAAGATAAGATCATTTTGACTAAAAATACATATAGAATATCTTACCGAATTTACATATGATTCTAATAAACAATCAAATGTGTCATCAATATTCATTGTTGTATTATTATTATAATCATTCAAGATTGGAATATTATGACGTTTATTGTCCATTAATTTATCATTAACGAACGTTCGGTACACGTGACATTTCAACTGAAAACAAGAGGATGAGGAAAAGTAAAGAAAACAGCTGCTTAGACTGGACGATACTATAAGAGTCATCTCATGATTGATAACACATTATATAGGAAAACGCTCGTTAAACAAAAACACAATCTTGTGTTCTTTCGAAATCATGAACAACTTACGTATCAATTCCCCTTAGGGTTTCCTTATTATTTTTTGTAAATAGCCAACTAGTCGAGATCCACATAATTTATTCAATAGCGAAATGAATTTAAATTTATTATACATGCTCGTAAACGAAAACATATCATCCATATAGGGATGATCATTTCTTCCTAATTATTTCGCTATGATACTCAGAGATACGATAAATGATTATAATGCATATAAAAAGTATTAATGTGCATTATAGTATGTGAAAACAACATTATATACCCCATAAATTGAATGTAACTGATATTGTTGACTAATAATGGTACTAAAAGAAAGGGTGCATATAAAAGACCAGAGAAATTTCTATGAACATGTTCATTAATAGTCATAAATAAAAGCTCTGCAAATAATAGAAGAGTTGTTTTTAATAGTTTGTCATGTTTCTATAAGTAAATACATGAAAAAACCGTCATCAATCTCATGTTTCGCAATAAAAATTTTTGCAGTGATACTCGAATCGACTCATCTGTATATCCTAGATATGAGTTCGATATTGAGCTTCACTTTTAGCATCTTTTCGTTGAATTATAGTCGCAGTAACATTCGTACGTATGTATAAAAAAAATGAATTTATGATAGAGAAAAATACATCCCAGGTCGAACAGTCCGGACTGGAAACGGCCGGTTCCGGGTAGTTCCGTTGAATTTGTGGAAACAGTATTTCGGTTGGAAAATTTTCGCACTTTTTCCGGTGATTTCTGATCAATTTCTGCCGAAAAGCACCGGAACTTGGCAGGAATCCGCCGGATAAGTCTGGTCGTATTTTTGACCGGAATAGTGCTTCCGTGTTTTCCTGCAGGATATGGTGACTTTCCCGCATATTTTCTGGAGTACCCACCCTACGGAACCCGGTGGCCAGCATGTTCGACCTGGGATACTGATCATCTTCATTTTAAAGACTTGCTGAACCGCGACGTCTTTTTTTTTCTAAATTTGATATATCAAAAGATGCAGTTTCTTATGGGCTTTCAGAATCTATTCTTATTTTTCTGCGGTGGATTATCCAAAGGGATCATTTGATCAAAATACGTAAAAAAATGAATGTTCGAAAATTGCAGTGAATTTTTTTCAATTTTTTTGTCGACAAAAAATTAGCACTCGACGAACTTCTATATGCCGTTTGTAAAGTAGATTCCGCACTATAGAATGGTATATAGCTTTTGTTTTGATTCAGTTGCATTTTGATGAAAATATAAAGAAGAAATTCTTATAAAATGACTCATTTCGATGACGGTGATTCACTTGCCCGCCTTATATCTCAGCAATGCAACGACATTTGGACGTGATATTTTAGATTTAGTATATCAACACCATGACCATTGAAACCAGATAGGAAACATCAAAATTTGACATATACCTCCGGGCGATCCGTTTGAGTTTGGTCTATCCTGTAGCGAAATCTCACCTAATTAGAAAATTAAAGCGCATATCCTTATAAGAGATCTCGCTATGTAATTTTACTAAGAATAATTTTCTTCTTCAATATAACTTGCTGTGTTTGAAAGATGCATATCAATTGATATTCATATTTTCTCGCTGTATCGAATATCATAAAATCTATGACGAAATATTGTTTTTTCCTCTTACTTTCCTCTCACATGATTTACAAATACGCATAATATGACGATACGATGACTACACTTCCTATGTGTAAAGATGTGTGAAAAGGAAAAATCCATCTTAACTAACACATGTATAACATATGATAGTGTTTTGAAAACTCTGAGCTTTATATTTTTACGATGTTCAAGTTTATATACCCATATAGGTATATGGAAGTTGATTTCAGCGGTGTGTTCCTACTGAAACAACTAATGCCAATGAATGAAATTAGTCAAAGCCTCGTTGTCACTGTTTATGAAATTGTCATTTTGAATCTTCGCATTATTTAAAAATATAAAAACAACTATTTACTATAAAACTGACGTTTACTCAAATTTCATGTTGCCGAGGTAGTCATGAGCAGGACAAAGACTGATATTTCGAATCACAAAGTAAAACTAAACAGAAAATTTTGTCACAATTTCTCAAAACATCGAAGTGTGTAAAATTATCATTTAAAGAACGAAAACATTTTCATCTATCCTACTTTTCTTCTCTTACCTCAGTCGACCTTTTTCGGCGGTTTCTTTTTTACCAAAATATATTATACCTATGCATAACAAATTTCGTTGTCATAGTAGCTTAAGTAATACGATATATCGTTGCCATCACTGAATCATTTCTTAGTTTCCCATCAAGCTGTTTATCGAAACTCGAAAAAGATCTAATTTCTGAAAGTCAATTAAATCCTTAGCTATTTTCAACTATTCCTCGCATCCTTGTTACAAACATTAACTAAATACAAGTTACAAAAACATAAAGCAACAGAAGCCATGTGCGTCTAGTTTCTGCCGGCAATGCCTCATCAAATTTTTTATGCTGGCAAAAAATTGTCATAAAAGCTATCTTATCGATTTCAGCAAAACCTGAAAGAAATATAAATAACGGTCCATATGAAAACGAACGTTACATTCCATATAGCAAGATAGCAAAAGAATGTGGTATTTGTTGTTGCTTTCTTCTAGCAAAACGCACCAAATTGTCAATCAAATGAACTTTAAACAGCAACATACTTACCGTAAAAAAAGGCAACTTTCGTTGGTCTACATAGCAAACTGCTGTGCGTGATGCTTCATCAAAAATTAAGTTTTCGAGTTATTATACATTTTAAAAAAGGTGTTTATTTCAGGTGTTAGTATAGCTAATAAAATCAATTGAAACGAAAACGGATTAGATACTTCATCGTTGAATAACAGGCAATAAGAAGTTGTGCAAAATATTCGCTCCTCAACATACAATAAATAATAGATGTCCATACTTTGGAATAAAAGATGTGTGACGGAGTGTGTTTATCACTCGAAAAGAACGAACACAAAAGAAAAGAAAATGAATGTCGACTGGGAATCGAACCCAAGTAGTATCAACTCTGGTAACTAGTCAGAAGCTTTAACCAACTAAGCTATCGAGACTCAGTCTACATTCATCTTCAATTCGATGTGAACACTCGGAAGATTCAATCCGACCAGTGGATCCGATCGTTTCCGGCATCGGATCCTATGGATTCCGTTGCTTTTCGGCCGACCCCGTTGAATTCCGACGATTTCCTAACTAACGAATCCCGGTCCGGTTTCCGCCGGAAAAATTCCGTTAAGTTCCGCAAATTTTCGACCCGGAATTCTTCAGAACCGATGGGAGTCGATCGGAAATGGTCCGACCAAATATGGACCGGAATCCGTTAGTTAGGAAATCGTCGGAATTCAACGGAACCGATCGGTTCCGACCGATTCCGACGTACCCTGATTCTCCTGGGCATACGTTTAATCTTTCGAGTGGTATACGATTAGCGACTTCCTTATTTATACGGATATTAACTCTAAACGGCCTCTTCTAACGAGGATTTGAATTGCCTGTTTTATTGCCGTAAAATGTGAATCATATATATATGTAAATGTATATATGACAGGACTTAATTTTATTCCTACTTTGGAATAAAAGATGTGCGACGGCGTGTGTTTATCACTCGAAAGATTAAATGTATGTTCACATCGAATTGAAGATGAATGTAGACTGAGTCTCGACAGCTTAGCTGGTTAAAGCTTCTGGCTAGTTACCAGAGTGGATACTACCTGGGTTCGATTCCCAGTCGACATTCATTTTCTTTTCTTTTGTGTTCGTTCTTTTCGAGTGATAAACACACGCCGTCGCACATCTTTTATTCCAAAGTATGAATAAAATTAAGTCCTGTCATATATACATTTACATATATATATATATATGATAATAGATGTCATTAACAAGTATTTTCTATTCATTTTTCTATAATCAGTGAATCAATATTCATACCATCAAATCAGTCAACAATGAGTAAATATTGTATTTTGGTTTATCAACAAGCAAATTATAAAATATAAATGTTCTCAATTAGAATAGTATTGAGCAGCTATCTATTAATTATCGTCAACGATTTTCATAACAAGAAATATCAAAGTAGACTCTAGTTGTCTCAGAAAATCTACAATGTCAATACGAGATCCATCAAAATATTGTACTAGCCAAGTAACATTATAATTTTTGCATGTTGATTTACCCAGTTCATCGATAATCATAAGAAAATCTACGGTTGTAGAGTTATCTTATGGATTAGCCGTGAAAATTATGGCTTATATTTTTTTTAATGAACTCTCGTTTGACTTACC